ATATTTTTCAAGTATTTCACTGTATGTGTGAAGTATCTTCTCATTTGTACAGGTGCTCACAGCTAAGAGTTCCCTTAAATCTCAGAGGAGACTTTGGACTTGGACTTTTTAGTAGTGCTAAAACTGTTAGCATTTGTCAACTCTTAGAAATGGACTAAATGCCTTTTACAAAAAGAATGTGTATGAGTCTTTGAGGGGCTAGAGATGGAATGTTACGGTTTGTGTCTAGATGTCCCCCCAAAGCTGCCTGCAGATTTAGATGGGGCTGTTTTGAATATAGAGTATGTAATCCATTCCTGATGCAATGGTAGGATTAAGGGTGCTGGGATTAAGGGTAGGAGATTGCTGAATCAGTCCACTGACAGGTTTGGCACCACTCTAATCCTAGTAGCCTAGACATAATATAAGAGATAGAAAGAAACATCACACCTTTCTTGTTTGTTTTGCTACGTTCTGGCTGCCATGAACTGTTCTCCTCTACAAAGCTACCTTGCCTTGTAGCCATCTGGTTATGGAGTGAAATCTGTGCAAACAGTGAGCTAAATAAACCTTTATCCCCTTAACTAGGGAAAGTAACATAAGATACATTGGGAAGGATAAGGGACTCTGAATAGACAAAGAAATCTTAGTATATGTGTTGCCAAGCCAAGCATTGGGAAAGCAATCTTGAGTGAGGTGTCACTGTACCTGACTTCCAAACATGCTACAGAACAGATACATAACAGAATAGAGTGTCCATAAATAAACCCATACATTTACAGCCAGTTCATAATATAGGCACCAAAACTGTGTGTTATAGGAAGAATAGTCTCTCCAATAAATGATGCGAGGAAAACTGGCTATTCACTCCTAGCAAACTTAAATTTGAACTGTCTTGTATCCTTAAGCCAATTACAGCTAGATTACAGACTTGAAGACCTGCATCCATGAAACAACCAGAAGAAAGTGTAAGGTAAACACTTCAAGATATTAGTTTACACATCTGTTTTTTTGTATAATACTCTAACATCACAGAGAATTAAGGAAAAAAATAGACAAGCAAGGTTTTATCTAAGGAAAGCAAAGAAAAAGAAATAATAGAGTGGAGAAGCAAATTACAGAATGGAAAAACATGTATAAACTATTCATTTAAGAAAGAATCAATATTCAGAAGAAATTAAAAACTCAATAGCAAAATCCAATCCAATTTAAAAATTAGCAAACTATATGAAGATACTTCTCAAAATAAGAAATCCAAATATTAAATTAATGAGAAAAAATGTTCAGTTTCAGTGGGTAGTGAAGCTATAGTATGTATGTTATTTGTTTTTATTTTAAGACAAAAGATGTTAATGTATGAGGGTTTTTTTTATTTTTTCGTTTTTATTTTTTTGGTACTGGGGATTGAGCTCATGTCTTCGTGCTTACCAGGTAGGTGCTTGTTCCCCTGAGTTAAATCCCTAGCCCTGTATGAGTTGTTTTTCTAAACTAAAACCTCAGTATTCAGGTTTAATTGCAATGTTGGACTTTGAGATAAATAAGTGGGTTCTGGGTTGCAAATTGGTCAATCTTCTCTAAAAGGTTTGGCATCACCGCACTACACCATTAGCTATCAAGGCTGTGGAACTCAAAACCATTTTGCTGCAGTTGGAAAGAATACTATTCAAAGGCAAAAAGTAATAATTGCTGGTAAGGATATGGAGAAAATTACTTTCTCATATACTATTGGTGAAAATGTAAATCATCACAATCAAGGAGATTTTTGAAAAAATAAAAACAGATCTAGTATGTGATCTAGCAATCTTGCTTCTTATTATATATTAAAAACTAATGAGCCGGGAGTTTAGCTCAGTGGCGTAAGTTCCTGCTTGGCAAAGGGCGAGGTTGTAAGTTTGATCTCCAGTGCACACACACACACACACACACACACACACACACTGAAATATTATTCAGCCATAAATGTTTGTGATATACAGAAAAATGGAACAGAGGTTGTGAAATGAAATATATCAGACAGAAAAATATATGGATACTAAAAAAAGATCAAATATAGAATAGTGATTATTAAAGGTGGGAAAGAATGGGGGTGCTAGAGATTGTATAATGGCCATCGAGACAGTTATGTAAATGTTGCAGTGTTCTACAGTAGACTAAGGTGACCGCAGCATACAATAACTTATTTTATGAATAACTAGAAGTGTAGAATCTTTAAATACAAAGAACTGATAAAGTAATATATATATATATATATATATATATATATATATATATAATTGTTTGAATTTTAAAGAGAATAAAACAAAACGAAACAGAACAAAGCACACCAGAGCAGAACAATGCAAGCAACATGGGACTTCAAAACAAGACAATAGGAAATCAGTGGCTACTTTAATGTCTCTCATTTTCTTCAAAATAGCAGTCCATACCATCTCACACAATAAAATCAAACAAAACAAAACAGAACAAAACTAATTGAAAATAAGAATGGAAGCATTATATGACTTCAAAACAAGACAATAGGAAATCCATAGTGGTTACCTTTAACAAGTCTCATTTTCTTCAAAAATAGCTGTCCATACTATTTCACATAATAAAATCAAATAAAACACAACAGAATAAAACTAATCGGAAGAAAAGAATAAAAGCATTATGGGACTTCAAAGTGAGATGATAGAAAGTCAAGAATGGCTTCCATAAAGTCTCAATTTCTTCAAAACAGCTGACTATACCGTCACACATAATAAAATCAAACAAAACAATAAAATGGATTAAAAGAATGAAAGCATTGGAGGACTTCAAAACAAAATAATAGGAAACCAACAATGATTAACATATACATCCCATTGTGTTCAAAATAGCTGCCCATACCATTAGACACAGTAAAATATAGCAAAACAAGACAGAACAAAACCAAACCAAAATTATGAAAATGATATAAGAGTTCAAGCCAAGACAATAAGAAATCAACAGTGGTTACCACTTTTCCCTCCTAGGTATTTCCTCCCTTAAGGGATAGTAATATTAGTTAATTTGATTTGATTAGTACACATTGTATCATGTTTTTAAAATATAACATTGTGCCTTATAGGTGTATAATTATGCATTAAAAAGATTTTTACAATTTTATTGATATAGATATTTAATGAGCTTGACTTGATCATTACATATTATATACATGTGTTCAGTTATCACACTGTGCCGCATAAATGTGTGCAAGTAAAATAATACTGATACATTAAATTTTTAAGTGAAGAATAAAATAGATAATAATGAATCAAATGTCATTATCAAATGCAAAGTCATTTAGTTTTTTTTTTTCCCTCATGTTATTCTCTAGAGGTTGTATAGCTTTGGATTTTATAGTAAAGTCTGTGACTCATTTTTAATTAAATTTTATAAAAGATGTAAAGTCTATGTCTTGACTAATTTTCTTTACATGTAAATGCTCAGGTGTTCCAGAGCTTTGATTGAAAGTGATCTCTTTGGGGCTGGAGGTTTAGCTCAGCAGCATAAGCACCTGCCTTGGAAGCAGGCAGTCGTGAGTTCGATCCCCAGTACTGATAAAAAGGAAAAAGAAAAAGACCAAAAAAAACATGATCTCTTTGCTCTTCTGTTAAAGATCAGTTAAGTATATTCTGTGCTTCTGGTTGTAGCCTTTATTCTGTTTCATTGTTTCATTTATTTTTCACCAACACCAACTCTCTTGATTACTATAAATTTAGAGCAAGTCTTAAATTTATTTACTTTTAATGTGACCATTCTGTCATCTGTAATTTGTTTACTTGCTTTTTAAATCTTTTAACTAAACTTCTAGGATTTTTATTATTCCATTTCTCTCTTGCTTTGGTTGGTCTTTAGAAGTAACACAGCTGTTGGTCTCTTTAGGTTGTAGGAGATTGTTGGGTTCTGTAGTTTTTTTTTTTTTTTTTTGTCTTTTTCCTTTTTATCCGTACCAGGGATTGAACTCACAACTGCCTGCTTGCAAAGCAGGCACTTATGCCACTGAGCTAAACTTCCAGCCCTGGTTCAGTAGTTTCTAGATTAGGTCTTTTGAGCCAGGTCTTCCATATTTTGCTGTAACTTGTAATGGTTTATTAAGCAGTTATAGGGTACTTATTTAAGACGTTTCATTTCTTTCATCATCATTTTAGAGATAAATAAACTGAGGACCTGGCAGTTGAAAAATGCAACCAAGATCACAGGATTTTTAGGTACCTATTGTTCTCTCTGACACATTGTATCATTCTAATGTGCATTAGTATAGGCCTCATTTAACCTAAAAGGAGAGATTGGCAAAAGGAGGAGGGGGTTGGCAGGCCAGTTACTTAGTTAGGCTTTGGCTCCTTCCTTGCCCAGATTCCTCAAGGTAATTTTCTTTCCTCTGGTTGTGTTGACGTGAGTTCATTTCTATAAAAAGTTAAACACTTTATCTTTTGTGTGAAAGCTCTGAGTTAATTGAATATTCTGCTCACTATGCCAGTTGTAGGTATGTTGGTAATGGAGGTTATAATTTTCCTGCGTTTATTTTTTGTGAAGTAGTTTCTAAAATTTTGCTGTTGAGTTTAGGATATCATGTGTGGAATATGAAAAATTTCAGGTGGTTAAAAGCCTCTTAGTGGGCCTGTATTTTACTTTTGTGGCAGCAAAAAATATAAGAAACAGCAAAGCTGGCGGTATGAGAGATGAAAGATATGCAATACCTACTATATCCGAAAGCCACTGAAGTAAATATATATCCATGTTATTAGAAACACTTTATGCAAATGCACATTGGGAGGAGGTGCTCTTTTTTTCCTGTCTTGACTTACCATGATTACTTCATTCCAGCCTTTGAAAATTCCATTAACTGTCCAGGTCCAATATTTTTCTTCATTTTGGATTTTTAAACTCTTGCTTTTTATTATTTTTTTCTCTTGTAACTGTCAAAGTCTAGGTGTGTATTACTGAGGGAAAGGAACTGATTTCTTGCCCCAGAGCACATATAAAAATGCCACTGGCTTGTACCTGATTTGATTCTGTAGGAGTGCACGTGGCTGCCCATCTGGTGAACGCGCTCAACTTCTCAGTGAACTACAGTGAAGATTTTGTTGAACTGAATGCAGCAAGATACCGAGATGAGGTGGGTGGTCTTTGTCTTCCCATTTTCCTTTCACTTGTCATTAAATGACTAACGGGGATCTGTGATTTTCACAGAAAATTTATACCTTGCTGCTCCTTTTGAGTGCTTTTAAAATGCAGTTGTCAAGTTGAGTTTTATTCCCTTTCAATAGAAAATATAGGTAATTACTATTTCATAGTCTCTCATGCTGAAAATGGGAGTTTGCAAAGTGTCTACTTTTTATATTCTGCAATATGCAGATGGTTGCCCCTCAGACCTACCTTCTGACTCCCAACAGCTTTTGTCTAATTCCTATCATTGAGCTTAGTGTCGACAGTGCCATTACAGGGTAAAAATACCTTAATAATTCACGTACTGTGCTTAGGGGCATGGGCACAAAAGCAGAGTGATTATTTATGGGTACTGAATAATCAATTTTTTTTCTTTTAAAAAAATTAGTGAGTTTTTTTTTGCTTTTTTTTTTTTTTTTAACCTGAAAATAGGTGACCTTGAACTGAGTTATGCAGCAGGTAATATCTGACGTAGGGGTGCATTTTTCCATGGGAAGCCACTTGTGAAATGAAGTTCTGTGTGCATGGTGCAGATGCGCAGCACACACATACTCCTGCTGGGAAGATCTCCCGTGCTTGGTACTGTCATCTGTCATCGGGCTGCCTTTCCTTCTTAGTGCCAAGACAGCCGCATAACTGAAGTGTTCTGTGACTTCTCTGATTCAGATCCTGTCTTTTTCTGCTGTTAGCAGTTTCACATGATTACTCCCCATTTTTACACACTGCATTTTCATTTTTAAGTATCATCAGACTTTTTGAGGTTATTGCTGTTACAATCGTACATAAGCTTCATCTCCTTCCCAAAACAAAACAAGAGCTACAACAAACAGACAAGAAGCAAATCACAAAACAAGAACAAACAAGTTGCTTCTGCTGATATTAAAACAAATAAACATAAATTTTGTTTAATTAATCTTGGTTAGACATAGACATTTATGTTTTTATTAAGCTTGCTAAGTAATCATAGACTGCAGTTTGCATCAATAATTACTGAAAAACTCTAGCTCCTTAGTATGACTGTGACAGCTCTCAGTGCACACTGATTTGGGTTTGGTCCCCAGTTCTTGATGTCTCCAGCTCCATACGCCTCACTCTAGCTTTTGCCTTTTGCCCACATCTGTTAAGACAACTTGTTTCCTGCTCTTGCTCTACATGTTCCTTTGCTTTGGTTTTCCTTTTATTTGTCTTTTTTTTATAATTTATATTTTAATACCCGTAATATTTATTATTTTTTAACGTGGTCTGTCTTTGCTTAAGTTTTCCGAATATTTTTACTAATTTTAGGGAGTTTATTTATTAAATTTACTTTATGTTGAGTGATAGACACTTAAACAAAATATTTAAAACTAAGTGAAATTAAAAGTGAAAGCTTCTCCAAAACTAGCCACAATTAATTTTTTATGTTTCTTCTAAGAGATTTGAGTGGTTTTTTTCCTCTTAGTTATGCCTCTGCAGTTTGTTTCCATAAATATACATATATAGGTTTACTGTGCTAGACTATTTAGATCTAGTCATTCTCTTTGTATATATTTGTTCTAGTTTATTTTTAGCCTTTTATTTCCTAGACCTTTAGGTTGATTCATTTAGGTTAGTCTTTGTTATAAATCATATTCTAGTAAGTTCTTTGTACACTTCTGCTATGCAGACTCGTAGACATGGAATTTTGATCTGAAATGTACTTTTGAGGTTTTGATGGAAAATGACCAATTATTTTCCAATATGATTTTAAAGTTTACAAGCACTTGCCAACAGTGTATCCAAGGGCCTATTTCTGTGCCTTGTCTCCTTTTCCTCCAATCTGATGAATGAAAAGAACGACTTATTGTTTTGAAATATATTGTATTTTCATCATCTTCCTACCTTCCTTCATTTTATCCTACGTGTCTTCCTTTATTCTTTTACTAAGTATGTATTTAGCACCTAGTAAATATGAGACAATGTATTAAATAGAGGTGAAAATAAACGTGCTTGTGTGTGTGTGCATGCACATGTATGTACATGTAAACAGATACATTATTCTGTGCACTGTCTTTGAAAGGGCTGATTTTGTGCCATATACATTCTTGTTCTTGTGTTAGGTGTTTACTCAGCCTGGAGTAACCAGTCCTCCAGCTTCCGAGCTCTGCACATTTTTGGTGGCCCAGTTAAGCCTACTTCCTTTTGTTTTCCATAAAATTGTATTTTACATTTTTCATCTTCTCTTGGCAGTAGTAATTGTTCCTTCTTCTGTATTTTCACATTAATTTATTCATATTTTTAATGCTTCTACTTTGCCCAATTCATCTTACATTTCTTTGTTAACAAACTGTTTATATCTTGGGTTTCTCTAGATCACATTGTGGCCAATTTTATATACCAAGAATGTAAGTCAGGTGAGCTTAGGCAGGTGAGCAACTTATTCCAAGGCAGGTGGTCCATATTTGAGGCTCTTGAAATCACACCATATAAATGGCTTGTTACTTACATTATAGCCTGGACTAACTCCAGATTCAAAGGTCTAAAAAGAAAGGAATTCAAAAGCTTGTGCAGGTAACTCGGTGTGTAGTTCAGTGATAGAACACTTGTTTAGCATGAGCAAAGTGCTGGGTGTGATTCCCAACATTGCAGGAAGCAAAGCCAAATGAACAAATTGAAAAAGCTTGTGCAATATTAAGCACCATGAGGATGAAAAATGAATTGGCATATATAGTGAGGTTTGAATTGTGGAGAGTTGACTATAGTCAATTACAGCGTGATGGTTATAATTTAAAATAAATACTTTAATAACAATATTGTTTTACATTTCTAAGCAGTAGAAATCTATTGTTTCTGTACCACTTTTCATAGTATTTGAAAGAGTAAGTTCTCAGTTAGTTGACTTTGCACTGACTTTACAGTGCATAAATCCCACATATACTTATCAGTTTTGATTCTCACTGTCTTGATAATGCAGTTTGGCATTTGCTGTAGACAGAATATACATATCAATATTTTCACAGTATAACTAAAGATATGAGTCTGAAAATGCTATTTTTTCGCTTAAGGTCATAGCCATTGGCTAGCAAGAAGTCAGATTAAAACCCAGACCTGACACACGCAGTTCTCTGCCTTTCTCAGATGTTATACATCTATAGCAGTGTGAAGCTTAATTATCTTCTACTTAAACTAGAAGAACAGCATCTTACATAATCAATACTTGGTTCCTATATTCTGTTAACATCATGTAGAGTTGTATGTCATCAGTATTTTATTTTTGAGTCAAATCTTTTCTTTTGCCTTTTTCTTAGGATCCTAGAAAACTTCTCTTCACAACGGGTAAGTTGTTACTCATTCTCTTTTTTAGAGTCCAGAACATCATTGAAAATAGGCATTGTCAACCTGCATAGCAATGAGATGCATGCTAAAATATAACATATGGGAGGTTGCATAATACAACAGATATTAAGAGTCCAGGCATAATGTTTCAATGAAAACAGAGGGACAAGGCAAGCAGTTGGTGTGTGTATAAATGGAGCATAAAAGCAAGCCATCACATCCTTCTGTCACATGTTCTTCCAGGAAAATCAATTATGACCCCACCTGCTTAGCAAGGGGCTGCTTTGTGCTTGCTGTTGTGATAGATGCTGTGGGAGATAATACACATGGAGTGGATTTCTGCTATCAGGGCGCTGGAAAGGAACAGCAAATACCCTATCATTGTAGTTCTTACAATTCAGTAATTTGGTAGAACATTGTGATTTTGAAACCTGTCACAGGAGAAAATCATTAAAATCAGCCATTTTTTAAACAGTGTATTCTTTTTCTCTGTAATTTATTTTCCCTCTCAGGCTCATTGTCTGTGAAATCTCAGTCTAGACTACTAATTTGTTAATGCACATTTGAGTATCTTATAATTTTCCCGATTGTAAAATTCTTCTCTTTCTTAATCTCAGGCTTCTTCATAAGATGAAAAGAGAAGGGTGCAGGAAGAGGATTCTTTAGCACTTATTTTAGCTACAAGGATGACTGGGTGGTTGAGATAACATAGCATAAATGTCAGCTGCAATCACTTATTAATGATGAGAGGGCACATCTCCTGGTCAGATTTGTTGTCTTCCTTGTAAACCCACTTTATGAAGAAAAATAGCAAAATTCTAGTACTTTATCCTCTGTGTCATGATTACGTGATTTGATTTATAAAATGTATTTTATTTCTGCCTATAAATTTACGATATTTGCCACTTTTAAAGTAATTCATAGTGTCATTTTGTTTACAGTTTTCTCATCAAAAGCATGTTTTTATTTAAGCCTCAAGAATTGCATGGGAAACCAGAGAAAAACGTAGAAAAGTAAAACCTTATGTATGAATCAATGAATGCTTTGTTCATGTGAATGAATTTAAGGAAATAAAAGAGCTTTGTCTTATTATTTTGTATTGCAATAGTTTAATAGAAGCCTTCAGACATTCAGATGCTCTAAAACCTAGTCCAAAATATTTAAAAACTTATATGACTAAGATACTGCATTAAGAACTTAGTGTAAGGTAGGTGTTCTCTCCACTTCTTATAAAGCTCTGTCATTTTATTTTTTCCTGGAGGTCCTCAGGAGTGGCACTGGAGTTAATAGAAATAATAATTTAAAAACACAAATGTCCTGGTTCCATTTTAGCGTTTCAGAGAGAGACTCTGCGATATGCTCTACCCACGTTTCCAAGTACTTTGGAAGCTACTACCTTCACAGAACAGTTCATCCTACCCTTGGCATCTTTTCTTACTAATACCCACCTCTTGCCTGAGATAGACAAACTCTCTTTTGTTCACCTGATCAGTGCTGCTCATCACTAAAGACACAGCTGACAGGCTGGGGTTCTACTATGTTGTGGATAGTTTATTTCCTTCTTGTGCTGTCTTTTTCATTGGAAGGTAAACTTTTTAGGATGAAGTCAGTCTGCTGCTGGGGTGTGCAAGGCTGAAGGCCATTCTCTTCTGTGAGGTTTCTGTTAATCCAAGCAATTTCAGTAGCTGAAAATCAAAGAAGCATGGTTTTGGTGACCAGGGCTCACATAATTTACTAAAAGCAATATTGTGATGGCCAGAAGGAGCTGATCACTTCCCAGATAATTACCATGATTCTGGAGCTCCCTACTGTGAGTCTAGAGCTCCTGGAACATCTCATTGAATAGTAGTAGATGGCAGAATATGGGGAAATCTAAAGCCAATAGTGGAATGATAGATACTGCTTTCTATAGATAGACTTAGTTCAATCTTGTCTTATTACCAGTGGCTAAAACTGTTTCATAATTTGTCTTGGACATAATATCTAAGAAAAATTAAGTTTCTAATTGGGGAATATATGCGTGTTTTGAGTTCTAATGACACAAAATATTCTTGCTGGTTGATAAATTTCTTAGTATGTTTAATTTGACTTGGGTTTTCTTCTCCCTTCTCTACTTAAATTTCTTTTAGTATAATTTGGGTAAAAAAATTAAGAGTTTTTTTAAACAATTAAAGCCTAGAAGTACAAAAGACAAAAGATGGTAGTTGGATTTGCTGTATAAGAAATGGTAAAAAATATTTTCAATTAAGAACTTATAAAATAAGTTTAATAGTTGGATTGCCCAAACATTTAGTTAGAAATGATTATATGCTACATATCTCTAAATTTGGTAATATCTTTCTGGTGAAAATACAATGTACAACATTTAATTTCAGTTAGAAAACACAATTATATTTCTAGTTACGTTCAAAGAAATAGGATAGTGAATAGAATGTGATGTATTTCATCTATCAGGTATATATAAAATGATACTTGAAATTCATTAGGAAACAAAAGTATAGTGCAATTACTCATTTTTAAGGCTATTCATTAGTGAATTTAATATGCATATATAAAATCTAATAGAAATAAACATAAGCTTATATTTCCCTGAAACTCCAAGAATATGTTTGTCTTCATAATTTTAAAAGCTCTCAGGAAAGCCAATGTAATTGCTTAAGCAAATAACCAATGCCCAGACTAGCCCAACAGTTTTCAAATTGCTTATTCTGACTCTGGGAATGTGTAATAATGTCACCATTTTATAAGTAAGCTTATAAGTCACCATAAGTAAGCTTATGGTGTAGAAATAAGTTTATAAACAAATGATACTCAATGTATTATAAAGTATAGCCGCCTTTGCTTTTTTTTTTTTCTCTTGTGCTGAAGATCAAGCCAGGTAGGTAAGTTCTAGGCAAGTGCTTTACCACTGAGCGGGCACTTCACACTCTATGAGTCTTTCGAATACATTTTCCATGTTCTACTCAGACAAAAGTATGATTCTGTAGTCAAATAGGTTTGAGGAAATATTTAAAGTTCAAATGGGTCGCTTAACTTTTATACTTCTTAGAGGCTTTAATACACTGATGTGTCCTGTAACTCTTCAAGAGATGGCTATGGCTTTTTTAAATAATAGAAACTATTACTTAAGAAACTATTACTCAAGGAACTAATGTTCAAATAATGAAATTTGGAAACTATGGCACTATTGTAGCTATACTCAGTTGTTTTCAGGTGTCCTTCCAATGAGGTGATTTGCAGACATTCTGTTATTAATTTGGGCATGTTTAGAGTCACATAGGAATCCTTGTATGGAAATATAGTAGAGCATTAATAAAGGACCAATAACATTTTTGGGAGGCTCCTCAAATTACAGATTTCATGTCATCTGGGGTTTTCACCATTACTTATTCATTTGATTAAATAGAGCCTTTTAAAAATTACTTTCAACTATTGAAACTAATCCTTTGTCTCTTTAAATTTGTTGAATTATAACTGAATTATTAAAACTCAATTCAATTATAATTGAATTGAAGTTCGCTAAATCCCACATATATGTGAAGTATGGAATTTGATTGCTTTTTGTATATAATAATCACATCAGATTGTCACCCAAATCAGCATAACAAATATTTCCACTACCCCCAAAAGGCTTTATACCCCTTAATAATGTGTACTGTCCTCTGTCCTTCTGAGCAACTTACCTGATTTCTATCACTCAACAATTGTATGAATTTTACAGAATTTTATAAAGAACTAATTACAGGACTTGTACTTTGGGGCTAAGATGGTATGACTTCTTTCACTCAGTCTAATAATTTTCTGTGTGCTTGTATTGATTAACATGTCAACAATTCATAGTTTTTTACTATTGATTTTACAGGTGCAGTTAATATCATTATTATTTGTCCATTCATTTGTTGATAGGTATCTGAGTTATTTTTATGCTGAGCATTAAAAATGAAGCAGCTACAACCAATTAAACAAATCTTTGTGTGGTTATAAGTGTGTGTGTGTGTGTGTGTGTGTGTGTGTGTGTGTGTGTGTTTCTGTGAGTAAACATTTGGAATTGCCTTAACTACATCATTTTATAGGCATGCTGTTTTAAAAATTAAGCTGTTTTCTGTACTAGTAATTCTGTATTTTGAGCTACATTACCTATCTTCCTCTTAGCTTATCCCTCAGAAGTAAGCACTTACCTGCAGAAAATAGAAGAGATAATGGAAAGCAGTACCCTAGGAAGGAAGTATAGAAAAGCCAAGATTTGGACTTGGTATATCCTGGAAAGGCATATTGTACTGGGGCTCTAAATCTGTGTCTTGGGAAAATGAGTAGAATATAGGACTCAAGTGTTAAGAATTCAAAGACTGTTATTTTTCCTGTGGCCCTTTGCAAGTGGAACTAGTTTCTATTGTACCAAGAGTTCTAATATTGTTATTTGTCCAATGATTCTAAACCTACTAGAATCCTAACAATGCGTATCTGTATTGGTCTTACACTGACCCAACTTGAATCTGCTGTGAGTGACTTGCAGTTCAAGAAGAGAAATAGAAGAATCTACACTTCTTCTAAAAGAATTGTTCCAACAGCCTTTACTTGTGTCCAGATTTAAGAGTCTCTTAGATAGGACATTTTACTGTTGCATGTGTGATTTTTAGTGTGAAAAATGTATCACCCATGGGATATTTAATTCCTCAGTAACATGAGAGAAATAAGCCTATTGAGATTTTATTGTTTTAAGCTCTGTCATACCAGCTATTTATTTTGGATATACATAACTAGGTAGACTAATGCTAAATTTATAGTAACCTACCACATGATTAGTTCTGACATATTTGAAAATTTTCTTATTTTTTAAAACAAACTTTATGTCGTGTAAGAATTGACTTTAGAATGTTTTCCATATTAAGAAGAAATATGTTTGATGTGTTTTTGCAACATCAGCATAAGAATTTTTTCTTAAAACATAGAATTTTTGTTCTATGTTTTTAGTTTTTAAAAGGCTTTACTTTTTTTTTTGCTTGAAATGTTTATTAACCATTTGAATAGTCTCTTTTGTGAAGTACTTCTTCAAGTCTTTTTATTTTCTATTAGAATATCTTGGGCTTTTGTCTTAATTGACATAAAAATATTTTTTGTAGTAGAGATTGAATCCAGGGGTTCACACTGAGCTATACCCTCAGCCCATACTCTTAATTTTTAAATTATTTTTATATTGAGACAGTTTCACTAAGTTCCCCGTACTGGGCTTGAAATCCTCCTATCTCAGCCCCCCAGAGTGCTGTGTTTACAGGTAGTGCACTACTATGCCCAGTAGAAATATTTTAGATTTGCAGTTTTTAAGTCTTTCTGGTTTTATTTTTGTGCTACTGGGAATTGAACCTAGGGTGAACTACTTCCCCAGATATTTTTATTTTTTAGTTTGAAATAGGATCTTACCAAATTGCCCCGGCAGGACTTGAATTTGTCTTCTGCCTTAGCCTTTCTTAGTGCTTGGGATTACAGATGTGTGCCACTGTGCTTAGCAGTTTTCACACTGTTTTTTACATGTATTGCAAACATAATATTTTACTGAAACATACCATTTGAATTTCTTTCTTTCTTTCTTTTCTTTCTTTCTTTTTTTTTTTTTTTTTGAGACAGTGTAGTGAAATTGGTACAGAACTTCACAGAGGGTTACCAGGATAACAGTAATAGATATCACAGTATATCTTGTTATCTTCACAATAGTTGTTTTTTCAATCACGTATAGCAAAATAAAATGAAATACAGAACATTATAGAACTTATCAAAACAATACTGAATAGAGCAGTACCATTAATCAGAACAAAGCAAAACAGTAGTAAAAATATTTGCCTTCAAAGACATGGTAGAAGGAAATCCCCCTTATTTCCTATATTGCATATGGTCAGCCTCCCAAGAGATGCTCAGATCTCTGGTTCCCATTTGCTAATGGGCGGGCAAAGGAAGTGAGATGTTTGACTCTCAGCCCGTACACCGGTAGGCTCACTATTGCTTAGCAGGGAGGCAGGCTGGTTGCTTGGTTTCCCAGCGCCCTAAGTTCCAACATGGCGCAGATCTCAGAAGACACTGGTGGTTCTTCCCCTGGGGCAGCTGCAGCCTGCCACACCGCAGCCACTTACCAGGGATGCGAACTGTTTGCTTGGTTTCCTAGCACCTTAAGTTCCAACATGGTGCCAAAAGCTTTATTTTTTATTTTTAAATTTTTCTCATCATATTTTGTTGCTACATTTTAGATGTACATAATGATCACACACTCATCATAGAGAATTATAACTCTACATGATATAATTTGATTCTTTTCTTCCCATTCCCCTCCCCTCCCCACTTTGTTTCCATTTTTTTCAGTTTTTGACTTTTCCATTCTATTCTCCCTCCCTACTGCTTTTTTCCCCTACAGATTTGAACATTGTCTTAACTATTTCACAGTATCTATTATACATTTTGGTCTTTATTTACACTTTAATTTTCTCATATAAGAGACACAATGTGGCATTTATACCAACATGTCCTGTTTATTTCACTTAAAATTATGGTTTAAAGATGCATTCATTTATCTGGAAATGTCTCAAGTTTATCCTTCCTTATTACAGAGCAGTACTCCATTGTATTAAAAAAATCACATGTTTATCCATTTACCAGTTGATGACCATTTGGACTGTATCCAAGATTTGATTATTACAAACTGTGCCACTGTAAATAAGGGTGTGTATATATCTCTAAGGTATGATGAAAAGTTTTAGATTTTAAAAAATATTTTCTTTAAAGTATTCCAAATAGTGAAGCCCACACATAATTATTTAAATTGCTGGAATTACTACTTCCATAAAAAGAATAATAAGGGAGTTTGAATACAATGGAGAAGAGCACAAAACAGCACAGTGCTGAGTATTAACCCAAGCCCTTTGCAGAAATTACTACTGTTTAATAGCATCTGTGTCCTTAGAAGTGATTACAGACTCACCATTCTGCATAGATTGTTTGGAAATACAATAAACTTCCATTAAAGGAAGGGAAAAGTCTGTCTTGTCTTAAGTAGAGTTTGTTTTAAAATCTGTTGATTTTTAAAAAGGTTCATATGAATTTGGCTTCCCGCAGTATGGCATATTACTTTCTATTTTAAGGTTATTTTTTGTAGTCTTTTTCCTAATGTGATTTAAGCTAAAAGGTGCTTGTGCTCATTTTTATAGTACCTGGCCTGACAGGAGTCTGCATGGTAGTGGTGCTATTCCTTATGACTACAGCTTCTACATATGCAATACGGTAAGTGTTAGAATTATTGTTTTCATGTTATCTTCTTTTACCTGTATGGGAAAAGTATTAATAAAAGGGTTTAACCTGCATACTATCCTGGATAAGACACTATTCTGGGTAATAAGATTGAAGTAGAAACATTTCTGTATATTATTTCTTGTTTATGTCAAAATGTATTTGTATTAGTCAAGTTTTCTGGATTTGAAAACAATTGTGCATAAAGACTGCGTTTGATGATCAGCGAAATTTGAATTCTTCAGGATCATCATTTTGAGGCATAGTGTGTATCTGTGGGACATAAGATTTAATTCAAATGCACACTCATAGAATTTGGGAATTCCTAGGTAGGCATAACTTAAAATTGTTTTATAGTTAATTTCCTGAATCAAATTTGTTTTACTGTTGTATAACAGTGTTCAAAATATAGCTTTAGAAACATGGTTGGCTCACATCTGCTAAAATAATTTGAAATACTTGCTAGGCAGGGTGGTGCATGTCTGTAATTCTGGCACTCTGAAGGGTGAGGCAGGAGGACTGCCACTAGTTTGAGGCCAGCGTGGTCTACATAGTTCAAGGCCATCCTGAACTGCATAGTGAGGACTGTTGCAAACAAAACAAAACAAAGTAGAAATATATCATTAAGGATGTTTTAATATGCTTTTTCTGGTAGACAAATTTTACTTTTTATAGTATTTTTAATGCTTTATATTTCTGATAAAATTTTTTGTTTAAAGAAAACAAAAAAATAATAACTTTTTTCCTGAATTTCAAAAATCTTAAATCATTCTAATTTCCATCATGGCAAATTTAATGAAAACAGACAGGAATATGCGTGTGCTGTGAAAACAATTGATTATATCCTCAAATGAGCTTGTACATGGAAACTCAGAGATTAACACTATAAACTTTTTAGTGTGTGTTTATTTTTATAGATTTGATCTTATTGGTTTTGCTTACTCACTGACCTTTTTCCTAGTTTCATAATGTTGGATGCTTTGAGTTGATTCCAATTTTTCAGTATTTAATTCAGAAACTAACACCCTCATCTGTAACGCATTGCACACTTTTTCCAATTATGTCCTAAGGAGAAATTTGTACATATAGAATAAGTAGGTCAAATGGTAAGTGCATTTAAATTTTTCAGAAGAAAAATTACTTCCCAGAAAAGCAAAACACTGACAGTGCATGATGGTGCAATTGTCTGGAGAAAAAAAATTTTTTTTTACACAGGAAATCAATCATTTACAAACACTTTAATTTTGGGTATTTTTGAAGGAAATTAAGTCACTGAGTATACTCATTCATTGGAGTGAACATATATAAATATTCTACATCTTAAAACAGTATTTTTTTTCTTAAGATAGTCTTGTCATGTAACCCAGACTGGCTTTAAACACATTGGGTAACCTAGGTTGGCCTTGAACTCACAGCAATCCTCCTGCCTCAGCCTCCTAAGTGCTGGGATTAGAGGTGTGAGTCACCACACCTGGCTAGAAGAAATATACTTGTAAGAGATTTATTAAGTAGGTTATAAAATTCAATTTCTTTTCTCAACTGAGTTATTAATTTGTTCTCATTAAAATTATTTGGGGTTATCTTATTTTTCAGTTTTTCAGATTTAAGAGATTATAACACCTATTTTTCTTTTCTTCAAGATTTATTGTGAGAATGAAATTCTTAAATAGACCATAGAGATGCTCTTCTACATTTCCTGTTTAATCACGTGGAAATAAAACAGACAAATTAGGTGAATAAATATGACCCCAATATTTGACTTCTGATAATGGGAAGTAGTCTAATTCAAGGAAAGTTTGGTATTTACCCATCTTACAACAACACATCCTACTCAAAGACAGCAGGATATATTTTCTAATTTCAGTAGATTTCAAAATGGCAGTTTTGAATGTAAAATTTATGGGGGAAAATAATCATATTAAACAAGCTAGAAACTATGTGGTTTTCTTAATAGATTTGAAAAACTGTATATGGAAAAATTAAGTGACAAGCAGTAAAAGAGTAGTTATACTTCTTAGAAAATCAGGAAATAGCCAAGGTAGTCATTTTAATTCCATAATTAAATATGGAATATTAATTTATATTTAATATTATATTAAATATAAATTACATAATTTATATATGTAAGAAATAAAGAAATTGGAATCATTGGGAAAAAAAGGCAAAATTCTATTTGACAGAGGGGCTAACATGTTCAGCTGGAAGGATGATAGCCTATTTAATAAATGGTGCTGGAAAAATTGGCTTTCCACATGCCAAAGACTCAGCTTGGACCCATGTGTTTCACCATGCAGTAGACTAAAGTTAAAATGGCTCAAAGTTCTCAATATTAAAATAGAAACACTAAATCTACTGGAAGACAAGGTAGGTAGAAATCTTGAAGACATAGGGGTAGGCAAAAATTCATGATCAAAATGCAAACTGCGTGGGAAGTACTTCAAAGAATCAACAACTGGGATCTCATCTTATTAAAAAGTTTTTGCACTTCATAAGAAATCACCAACAGAGTGAAAAGAAAACCCACAGAATGGGAAAGAATTTTAGCCAGCAATCCCTCAGACAGAGGACTTTTATCTTCAGAGTCTTTTTTTGTTTTGTTTTTTTGTACCAGGGATTGAACACACATAACCTTGCGCTTGCCAGACAGGCACTTATGCTACTGAACTAAATACTTGGCCAAAGGACTTCTATCTAGAACATGTAAAAAACTGAAAAATATCAGGCTCCCCCAAATTCAAAGACCCAATCCAAAAATGGGCATGTGAGATGAACACACTTCTCCGATGAAAAAATACAAATGACAAGTAAATACATGAAGAAATGGTCATCATTACTGGTTATTCGAGTGATGCAAATTAAAACAGCATTGAGATTCCATCTCCAGAAAGAATGGCTGCCATCCAGAAATCAACTGAAAACAAATATTGGCGAGGCTGTGGGGGAAACGGAACACTGCTCCACTGTTTGTGGGAATGTAGACTGGTGCAGTCACTGTGAAAATCAGTACGGAGATTTCTTAGAAGACTAGGATTGGAAGTCCTATTCGACCCAGCAATTCTCCTTTTTGGTATTTTCCCAGAAAAATTGAAAACATCTTGTCACAGCAATATATGTTAACGACAGCATTCATGTTAACAGCAGCACAGTTTGTAATAGCTAAATTTTGGAAACAACCAAAATGTTCATCAACCACAGAATGGATAAAAAAGATGTGCCAATTTTTGAATTTTATACAATGGAATATTACTCAGCTATGAAAAGAATAATCTTGAGACTTTTGTAGGTAAAAGGAGGCAATTTGAGACTATCCTTATAAGTGAAACAAATCAGATTCACATTTGTAAAGATTGTATTATCTCCCTAGTGTAAAAAAATTAAAAAACTGGTAGAGTAATAAGATCCAGAATATGCAATTGATACTGTAATAATGAAAGGGTAAGAAAGTATTCCGAAGGAAAGAATAGCTGGGATAGGGGAAAGGAGAAATGGAAGAAAGGAAAAGATTGTATGTAGTATACACATATAACTGTGTGTATGTATTTGTGTGTAATTCTAAAAGCAGTAGAAGAAACATGCAAATTTCATTGCAAAAGAGAATAAAAGGCGGCATGTGCCCCACTAGACATTAAGTGATTAAGCTTTAGTAATTTGAAGTAAGACTTGCAGATTAGTTTGGAGAGACAGAGTTGCTAGGCCTTTAAGGTAGCCTGTTACGTGCAAAACTTACTCAATAATAAGGTTGCTATTACAAGCTTGTGAAGAAAGTGAGGTGTAAGCACATGGAATTCTAGATAACTTACAGATAAAAGAAGTGATACAATTCAAGTTTTAAGACACTTTTAAGTAGATATTTGTCAGATCTCAAGATGGACAAGGAATCTTGGAGGAAACATTTGAATATCTACAAATATGGAACCTAAAACTTCTGCATGTCAAGATACATTATTGAAATTGAAAAGCAAACGTGAGAACTACATTCACAACAAACCATTGTATTCTTAAAATATAAGGGGTTTTCTCATATCGGACCATTAATATGAACTAAAATGGCTTAGTATTATAAACAGAAGTCACAGAAAAATTGATATGAAATAATATTTATGTATAAAAATAATGCAAACATATGGGGTTTGATTTTAGGAAATAAGCACTACTATATAGTTGAAGTTTTGTAATTTATCAATGTAGTTTTAGAGAACATTGGGCAGTGTGCATTACAAAAGCTGTCCTTTGTAGCAATTTTATTGCTGGTAATTTTGACTAAAAAGAATCAGATATACATAATAATGCATGTCTTGTAAGTTAATGACATTGTTTATGGTAAAAATATTTTGAATGAAGTAGATACAAAACAATTGGCTATTACTTAAATAACAGGCTCTGAATGATTGTAAGGGAGGTATCCCAGTCATGCAGGAAGTGTTTCCAGATATTTGCTCTCCAACTTCAAGAGTCTAATAACTAAATATTTACTCTAGAAAAATGAAGTAAAATGCAAGTTAGTCGTTTTTATTTTTACCTGACATTCAGTAGATTGTGCTTATCCTTCCTTTTCTTTTCAAATGCTTTATTCTTCACCACAGAAAAAAACATTGAGATGTGTCATTATGAAGTTACACTGTCCAAAAAAACAATGTGAAAAGCATTCATTTCAATTTCTTTCTATTGTAGTTTCTTTTGAACTAATTTCAAAATATATATTGGAGTAGGAACATTGATATTGATAAAATATGGATAAAAATTGATAAAATTTTGACAAAAATTGATAAAAATTAATATTAATGAAAACAGCAAATAGACAAATTAGCAGAGTTTTAGGTTCCATATTTGTAGATAATCAAATATTTCCTCCAAGATTCCTTGTCCATCTTGAGATCAGACAAATATCTACTTAATAGTGTCTTAAAACTTGAATTGTATCACTTCTTTATTCCTTGGCTTTCCATCATAGCTTTAATATGTACATTTTACTTTAATTGTGACTTTATTTGAAATACAAAGAACTTTCAAAATGTTAGAAGTGCAGCTTCTGCTTTATTCATTTCTTTTTTATGATATGTTAATAATTTGGTACTAATAGGAAAATCTCAGATAAACTCATTACTTAGTGGTCTTAAATTGTGATGTAGGTTTGAAATAATGCATCTTCTTTTGTGACACAGGATGTAGAGGAAGACTGAAATCAACTTACTTGATTTTTTTTCAGAGTTTCCAATTATGATATCTTCTGGTATACTCATAACCTCTTCTTTGCCTTCTACATGCTGCTGATGTTGCATGTTTCAGGGTGAGTTTAAAAACATATTTTTAAAAACCAAATCGTATGTGCCTACAACTGGGATAAACAAAGACAACTCTATATGAATTTTTATGCAAAGTAGTAAAAGTATTTTTTGACTTGGAACTTAGAGTAGGGTTGTATTTTAAGCATAACATATCTTAATGAAATAAGCATCACAGTATATTAGAATTTCACCCAAGTTGATTTTCCTATGGTGGAATAATTTGTAAAACACTCTATAAATTCATCCTAATATCTTCTACATTAATAAAATAGGAAGTGAAGAATTTTAAGAACATATTTTAGTGCTTTTATTTTGAAAAACTCTTGCTTCTGAAGCATTTATAGCAATGGAATGACCAGTTTTTAGTTTAAAAAAGCCTACAGCATCTAATAGTTCCAATGAAGGCAAAGATTTATAATGCTCAAGTACAAAGATCTGCCAAAAAATATAGAACAAAGGGGGAAATAAGTGTTTTACAAAGAATATACTGAAATCCTAGATATTCAGAAAAGCATATATACCAAACTGTGATCTCAAAGTTATTATTTTTAATTAATTTATGTAGATAGAGATAAAACAAGTAACATGTTTTTGTGTGTATGGTGTGTGCATCACTACCAGCAGAGGACTTGGTGGTTTTGGCTTGATGTTGACACTCAATAGACTGTTAACTCCCATCAGGGTCTTTTTATTTATTTATTTTTTTTAGCAGAAAGATACTGAAGGAGGAAACAGAATAATGTCAGGTGCTTCTTCAGTGGGACTCCTGTAGTTATTAGATGTCGGGGTCGCTCCCGGCCGGCAGGAAAGACACACGACAAAGTCTGGCGGTGTGCAACCTTGCCTTTATTTGTCTCCGCGTGGGCCCCGCGAGGCCTCCTCTCTGCCACCAGCCCTTTCTCGCCGGTGGACTTTCTCTATCTCTCTTTGTGCTTGCTCTCGTGGCGGGAAAGGCATTCACTTTTATAGGGCAACAGTAGCCAATCAGTTCAAAGCGCGCGATGCGGGCTGACTGGCTAACATCAGCTGTTGCTAGGCAGACTATCTTACAGAGCGGGTTGTTTAAGTCGCCAGCACAATCAGGGGGCAGGAAGCAGGCGCCAACTTGACTCACTCGATGGGAGGGGCAATCTAGCTCAGGCTCCGCTCCCACCCACAGGCCCTACGTCCGCCAAGTAAGGCGACTGGTGTAGGCCGCGGCTCCCAACATCTCCCCCTATTTTATTTACTTTGAATGAATGTATGCATCGCAGCCCGCCCTGGATCGAGTGCAGAGGCTTATGCCCTGTGTTGAGGTCCACCGTAGGCCCTTGGCTTGGACCCTGGTCGGCCGTCCCCGGGTCCACCAAGGCCTTGAGACCCTCGTCCTTTTTCCAGGGCCAGGAGTGAACTGGACGGAACCTGGATGCACATAGGCATGCACTCATGCCCCTCCGTGCGATCCCCTCGGAGAGACATCTAGATCTGGGCAGATTCTAGTAATCCAGCGGCTTTCGTGCAGTATGGGGTAGGGCCTGGCTTAGGTCGAGTCGTGCTGGGGAGGCACGCTCTTACCCGTCATTGACTCACCTACCCTGCTGTGTAGTGTCAATAGGGAAGGAGTGCGGAAGACCCGCCACACCTAGACCCGGTCGTAGGCCAGTCGAGCGAGCCATGCGTAGGCCTGGGGGTCATTGTGCCCATCACGGGCTGCTGCCAGGGCCGCATGGGCAACCAGGCGTACTTGACGCCGGGCCGCCGCAAGGCGCCCATTAATAAATGATGTAAGAGCAGAAGCAAGGAGCACAGGGGACCTAACAATGGTAAAACATAGGGGAGCAAGCCATTCCAGGCTCCCCAAAAAGGGATTGTCCTGCAGTTCTTTTAGGGCTCATCTTGTTGTTGGGTCTGCGGTTGGCCCCTGGTGGAACAGGCCTGATCTTCAGTCGAGGGACTTGTCGCGTCAACCTCTCTGGGACCCACAGTGGTTTTCGTCCCGGTTCCTGCGGAAAAACACAAACCGCGCCTCGGTTCCAGCTAACCACCGGATCCGGGCCCATCCATTGTCATGCCATAGATAACCGCGCCTTTGGAGGCAGGCCTTGGCTTACTCCCCCTTTTTGTTTACATAAGATTTCTTTGAGGCTTTTATGAGCTCTTTCAATAATTCCTTGGCCTTGAGGATTATATGGGATACCATGTTTTAAGTGTACTTCCATAGTCTTACAGAACTCATTGAAGGCTTTTCCTGTATAGGCTGGTCCGTTGTCTGTCTTTAATATTTTGGGCTTGCCCCACGCGGCCCAAGCCGCTAAGCAGTGATTGATCACATTAGATACCTTTTCACCTGTCTCTGCAGTTGCGAATATAATATGAGAACAGGTGTCCGTGGAGACATGGACATACTTAAGAGATCCAAATTCTGTCATGTGTGTGACATCCATTTGCCAAATATCGCCAGGGATCAACCCTCTGGGGTTAACCCCCATTGATATGGCAGGCGTGTGTGTGGCACATGAGCCGCACAGTCGCACGATGTCCCGCGCGTCAGCCCTGGAGATGCGGTACTGGTTGGCTAGCGTCCTGGCATTGACATGGAATTTGTCATGGAACTGACGGGCTTGCTCTATTGGAGATAACATATTGAAAATCCATAACGGGCGAGTGGCCGCGTCAGCAGCCGCATTGCCCTGTACCATGGGCCCTGGTAGGTGTGTATGTGCTCTTATGTGAGTGATGTATATTTTGTTGTGTCTATTTATGAGCAATGTCTGGATAGACAAAAACAAGTTAGTTACTTTGGAGGTTGGTTTAATTGGGCCTGCAGTCTCAAGGACCTGCATGGCATTGACAACATATTTTGAATCAGAAACAATATTAAGGGCCCCTGGGAACTTCTCGAGGACGGTTTGTACAATTTGTAACTCCACCACCTGTGGTTGATCTGGTTCAAACTGTATGTTAACTGGAGGCATGCCTGAGACCACATAGGCCCCTATCCCGGTTTTTGACCCATCAGTATAGACTGTTGTTGCAGGAGTAAGGGGTGCAGGGGCGGTGATTTTTGGAAATATCACCGGATGTTGAGTAATAAACTGTAGTATAGGGTCCTTAGGGAACTGATTGTCTATCTCCCCAAGAAATACACATCTCAGGATGGCCCAAGTATCTATGCAAGCAGTCAGAATTTTTATTTGAGAAGCGGTATAAGGCACCCGAATAGCGTGAGGCGTGGAGCCAAAATGCTGGATGGCTCTACTATGTGCCTCCAGAGCCAGAGAAGCAACTGCTTCCGGGTAATGTTCAATAATCTTGGCAGGTGAAACCTTAGGGTGCACCCACAGAAGTGGTCCTTTCTGCCAAATCACTGCCGTGGGCTGGGAACTGGTCTGCAACAAGCAGACCTCAAAAGGCTGTTCTGGGTCAATTCTCTGTAATGTAGCTTTGCTTAGGGCCTCTTCTATCTTCTTTAGAGCAACTCTGGCCTCTGGGGTGAACTCTCTAGGGGAGGCAATATCCGGATCCCCTCTCAGGAGATCAAACAGGGGCTTTAAGTCCGAATTAGGGATGTGCAAGTAAGGTCTGATCCAATTTATATCTCCCAGTAACTTTTGCATGTCATTTAGGGTTGTAAGATTATCTGTTCTGATGGTTACCTTCTGTGGAGAAATCGATGTAGGGGAGACTTTGGTACCCAAGTAAGTCACTATGTCTCCTCCTTGAATCTTGTCAGGGGAAATATGTAAATTAGCCTTTCTCAGGGCCTTGACCAGTTGGCCTAGCATATCCTCTAACCTATTTATGTCCTTCGCACTGATCAGCAGATCATCCATGTAATGAATGCACCTAACTCTGGGGAAGGCTTTGCGTAGGGGGGCCAGTAGGGAATCAAGGTAAATCTGACACATAGTGGGACTGTTGGCCATACCTTGGGGCAGCGTTATCCACTCGTATCTGAGATCAGGGCTTTCTTGGTTAATGGTGGGTAAGGTAAAGGCGAACCTATGGGTGTCCTCTGGATGCAGGGGGATTGAGAAGAAACAGTCTCTAAGATCTATAACATAAACTGGCCAGGACTGAGGGATGGCTGAGAGAGCTGGCAGCCCCCTCTGGACCGCCCCCAGGGGCTGCATCTGCGCGTTGACCGCCCTTAGATCATGGAGCAGCCTCCACTTACCTGATTTCTTTCTAATAACAAAAACAGGGGTATTCCAAGGGGAGGTTGATGGCTTTATGTGCCCTGCCTGAAGCTGGGTTTTGACTATCTCGGTTAACGCTAAAAGCTTCTCCTTGGGTAGGGGCCACTGAGGTACCCAAACCGGATTCAGGGACTTCCAAGTGATCTTAATTGGAGTAGGCAGGAGAACTTCCTCAGCGGCCCCTAGGAAAAACCCAGCCCGTGTCTACCTTCCCTTTTTTCTACAGGTACGGGAGATGTCCGGCCCTGTAGGGCAGAGCCCAGGCCCTTGCCGGGGACATATCCCTGATTCTTAAGTATACCCTTGGCTTGGGGAGAGCAGGTGGATGTAAGAGTGACATCCATCTGAGTGAGGATGTCTCTTCCCCACAAAGATACCGGCAGCTGTAGAACAAAAGGTTGAAAATGTCCTTGGTGACCCTCCTCATCACACCAAGGCAGGGTCATGGCACTAACCTGGGGGGCAGCCACCATCCCCAACCCTTGGAGTGTGTTATCAGCTGTATTGGTGGGCCAGCTAGAAGGCCAGTCCCTCTTGGAGACAATGGAGCGGTCTGCCCCTGTATCCAGGAGTCCTGTTATATTTCTACCATTAACCCTGAGCGAGAGCATGGGTCTTTTATCAAGAGTCATATGAAGTCCTTCAAAAATTTCTCCAGAGGAGCCAAAACCCTGATCCCCTCTAACCCGTTGTCTAGACTGGAATCTCTCATGGAGACTGGGGAGCAATAAAAGTTGTGCTATCTTATCCCCCTCATTAATCACCATGGTCCCTACATGAGATTGGACCATAATCTTAATGTTTCCTGTGTAGTCTGAGTCTAT